AAGTTATGTATGGAGGGATTGACTAAAGGTCAGTTCATGTACTTACCAATATCAGTGGATGAGTGCTTAACCTCTTCTATTGAGAACTGTAAAATTATTAATAATATTAAAATTTGTATTTATAATAACAAACCTCTCTTAGATCATATTTATCTTCACCACATGTTAGTTCAGTGATACCAATACTAGCTAACTGTTGTTGTAGCTTTGTAGTTAGAGGAAATAATAAAGAATAAAGATACTCAGGAATGAGGTAACCCAAACAGAGAGAACTCAGGTGGACAGATCTGAAGTGAAGATCATATTCAGGAATATCCAAACCTTTTGGTATTGCTCTACGAAAGAAGAAAAGGTCATCCAGTGTGTAGTCATCTCTGTCTACTTTAGCAATCATTACTCGTGTACCAGGAGGAATGTCTGTTATACCAAACTGTACAGCATCAGCATCTTTCAATAGTCCACCACTGTTTATAAAATAATCCTTTAACTTCTCTTCATATGACAACCAAGTTCTCTTCAGCGAACGATTTTCAGGTAGAAATACTCCGACAAGTTTTATCATTAGTTTATAGTTGAACCATGATATGTATTTGTCTTGAAGAATAAAAAATAATTTTGGTAGTGTTTTTACATGTTCAAACTCTTCTCTAACTGCTTCAGCTGTTGTTTTTTGTATCTTTATAGGACCAAGTAATGACATTACGTGTACTTGTAGATAAGTTATAATTTTAGGAAGATGTCTTGTTTTAAAAGAATCCATCGTTATTCTAATTGCCTCATCAAACTCTTCCTGTATATCCCGCAGTTTATTGAAAAGGATGCGGCTCTTTTCAGGAGTAGAAACATACACCAAATTATCTGAAAATAACAAAAACTTAAACAATGAAAATTAGCATAAAATATATTCAAGCAAATTTAATGTGTCATGAATATTATGCAAGTGCTACAAATTTTTGTGATGTTTTATTATTATGAGCACAATTTCATGTTGCAGTAGTGATGTATATGTAAACTAAAATGTTATAGTGTTCATATATTAAATCTCACAAGCATCAAAATTTTGTGTAGAGTTGCACATATTTCTGCTGCTCTTGTTGACAAATTATTGATTCATGCATTAAAAAGAAGTAATATTATTATTACCTGTTGCTCTGTCAGTGCTTGCTGGTGACATAGCTACTTCATCTGTTTCAGGAGTTGCACTTTTTTCTGAAAAAAATAGAAAAAATATATAACCAAATTGCAAATTAAAGTACTAATCATAGAGTCGTTATCAAATAAGTGTGCATGTCATACAAAACCTTATTTACAAAAAATATGTGCATGTGAGACAAATAATATCATGAGGAATCTAACATTTCATTTTTTCATAATCCATAACTTATTGGGTCAAATTTAAATGACATTCACTACTGAGACTGAAATTTGTTTGTAATGATATTCATTGCTTGATAATGATATTCATGTACTATATCAGTAGTGTGACTTCTACTATGCAAGCAATTGACTCAATACCAAAAAAGGAGATAATTAGGCTACCCAACCCAACCTACACTAACACATAATGTATTATCATAGATACTGATACACTGACAGTGATACTATTGATGACAACACTCAACTAATATATGTACTTTTTGAACTAGTTGATCCTGCAGGTGGCATAGCTGGTAGAGGATGTTCACGAGCTATTTCATCAGCTAATGCTGGATCACCTCCTCCTTCTTTAACAGCTACACACACTCTCCTCCAACAAGGAATACCATTAGTCTTGTAATCATAATCTTTCTTTAACCAGTATTCAAAAACTTTACGCAGACATGACAGATCTTTTCCACTAAAGTTAGCTTCTATGCTGTTGATAGTATCTATTCTGAGACGCAATGAAATAGCAATCTGTTCCCAATGAGCTGAGAGTGGTCTGACTTTATCATAAACATCATAAAAGTCATTGATGCCTATCATTAAAGCAAAAAAGTCACTCTTCGAAATTAAGAAAATTTTAAAACTTATGTAAATCTCAAATATACGCACAAACTCACTTAGCTCTTTATCACAAACGTTTATAAAAGTAGGCGAGGAAGAAGGGCTTGCCATTGTTGGTTGCTGCGTTCACTTCTACGCCCACTCAAAAGTACGGTATTAGGGGTATGGCTCAACCGGTTGTGGTTATGCGGCGCTGCTTGCTCTAAAATGGAGCAGCTTACAGCATTACTCTACTTTCTTCTCTTTTTACTGACATCATGTACTCTCAGGATTAATGGAGTCTCTCCTGATATTATAAATATCCAGTCTAGTTCATCCTGTACA